TTGTCTTCCCATACACGCCCAAGAAGCCAAGCAAGGTCACGCAAAGATTCTTCGTCACGTGCATCACGTCGATTGCGGAGCGGACCTCTGGGTTTTTCCAATAGGGCAGGTCCCAAAATATAGATTTCTTCTTCTATATGGGTGCGCGTCCATCAACATCATTCGGAACAGGTTGTCCGCTAGGACCCTTTCCAAAGACTACCTTCAAATCCTTGACTATATCATGTACATCAGCACCAGTATGGTGGCGAGGCTTCGTCCAATGATCCGCCTCACCTTTGAAATGCTTGTCTTTCTTTCTTACGGGACGCCTGCTCGGAAATCAACGATGTCCCATGTACACATTCTTCCTACAATTATCCAAATATATACGGCCGGTATCATCCAAACAGTGCGTGCATGCACGGTATCCCTTGTTTGTCTGTCCTGAAAGGTTATTGAGAGCAGGACAATCATTAATGGTCACGAACAGCAACACCTTTAGGTCAAATTCTTCCCCCATGTGCTCATCCCACGCACGTACACCTGTTCCATTTCACAGCTCTAAGAGTTCTTCAACTAATGGCCTTAGGTACACATCAATGTCGTTGTCGGGTTGCTTAGGGCCTTGGATGAGCACTAGCATCATAATGAACTTCCGCTTCATGCACAACCAAGGAGGAAGGTTATACAAACATAGAGTCACAGGCCAGGTGCTATGGTTGCTGCTCTGCTCCCCAAAAGGATTAATGCCATCTACGCTTAGACCAAACCATACGTTCCTTGCGTCACCTGCAAACTCCATCCTGTACTTTCTCTCGATTTTTCTCCACTGCGACCTGTCAGCGGGTACTCTCAACTTTCCGTCTTTCTTACGGTCTTCTCTGTGCCATCGCATCGCCTTGGCATGCTCTTTGTTTTGTAACAAACGTTTCAACCGTGGTATTATAGGAGCATACCACATCACCTTGGCAGGAATATTCTTCCTGGGGCGCTCGCTCTCGACATCACCAAGATCATTGCGGCTGATCTTATAGCGCAATGCACCGCATACCGGGCAAGCGTTCAAATCCTCGTACTGGTCACCGCGGTAGAGGATGCAGTCATTAGGGCATGCATGTATCTTCTGCACCTCTAACCCTAGAGGGCAGACAGCCTTCTTTGCTTCGTACATACTCTCGGGCAATTCGATGTCATTTGGAAGCATATTCTTTATTATTACCAGCAACTTTCCAAATCCCTTGTCAGATACACCATTCTCTGCCTTCCATTGCAGCAATTCCAGTGTGGTGCCCAACTTTTTCTTGTCAGCTTCGCAATTCGGGTACAATAATTTCTTGTGATCCTCTAACATGCGCTGCAACTTCTTATTCTCCAAATCACTTGCGCAGTTTCTCTTTGCATCGGCAACGGCCCGACCTAGATCATCAGCGGGCTCATCTGATGCCTCTTCTTCAGCTTCTTCCTGCATTACTGGCTCAGCTTCTTCCCCCATTGTTGTATCATCGTATTCAGGGAATCCATGGCTAGGATAACTGTCGTCGTCCTCTTCTTCTTCATTGTCTTCCATCATAACCCCTCTTTCTCCGTGCTTGGTCCAAACATTATAGTGGGGCATGAAACCAGACTCAAACATGTGGACGTGAGTGGTTCTTGACTTAGAGTAATTGTGATCATTCTTACAGCCAGCACATGGAGAAGGCATAAAACCATCCGCCCGCTTGTTTGCCTCAGCCGCAAGCAGAAAAGTTTGCACGCCATTAATGAACTCGGGAGAGCATCGGTCATCGTACATCCATTGTCGGCTCATCTTCATTACACAACACCGAAAAGACCAAATTAATACAAGTTCATACATAAAGTTCATATATACATAAAGTTCATACAACACTTAAATGCAACAAACAAATAACTCTCTAGCTAAAGCATTTAAATGCAACAACAAATGCGATCAAGATCGCAACTAAGGTAACAATTGATCCAACAGCATAATGATACCAAGCCTCACTATGAATGTCATATTTTCTAATCTTTCTAATCTTCAAGCGCATTTTCTCCATCTTGATCTTGTGATAATCGACGATATCGGCAACATGCAACTCCAATTCCATCTTCTCCCCCTCAATTCTTTTCAATTTTTCTTTCAAATCCTCGTTTTCTCTTTCAACTAAATTTAACCTCTCGACAATAGGGCCGGTTGGAATTTTCGGTTCACATACCTCCTACATACAAATATCTATGTCAACTTGATGGGCATAATTTGTCATAAACACGAAATGCAACAAATAGTTTTAAAAGAGAATATACCACATCCGAATCATAACAAGGACGAGGGCCGACGGGGACGGATATCAAAACCATGGCACTATGTATAACAAACAACGTGCGGGTAAGATAATTATATGAGTAACTATATATCCAAATCACACAAACATCAATTTTTTATATAAAACATTCATGAACAAGAGGCTCACCACAAGGTGGTGCCGACGACGGGACGCTGTGGGCGATCGACAGTGGTCACGACGGTGATTTAGAAGGCACTAAGTAAAGCACACCTACATATACAAACTAAGTGTTATTTTTACCTCAAATTGCATATAAATCAAATACTAGCACATATATTTCCTCCCAAATTACTAAACTCACAAATTAATCACTATATAACGCATTGCAAGAGCTAATCTAGCAATGAGAGATGAAAGGACAAAGTTGCTAACCTTTGTGATCATTTGAATGGATGGGGGCCTTCAAATCTTGATAAATTTTGGGAAAAATGTGTGATGAGCTCGAGAGGAAGAGGGGAAGAACAGAGAGGAGAGGGGAAAGGGGAAGAACAGAGCGAGCTCGGGTGGACGAAGGGTTTATGTAGGACGACCTTTAGTACCGGTTCGTGTCATGAACCGGTACTAAACGTGCTGGAGGGGCCCCAGACTGACAACATCCTGCCACCACTCTCTTTAGTACCGGTTCGTGGAACGAACCGGTGCTAAAGATTGGCCACGAACCAGTACTAATGGTAGCGGCCCGGCTAGCCGTTGGAACCGGCACTAATGGTCACATTAGTGTCGGCTCAAATTCAAACCGGCACTAATGTGCTTCACATTTGACCGTTTTTCTACTAGTGCTTGCTTCGAGGAGTCGTCATACTGCCATGCAGCATTGTTGGTTCTGCCCGGTCGTGATGAAGCATCATCGGTGCTACGATGGAGCATGGCCGAGCCACCAGAGAATCACCGGTGCCGGGTTGGAACATTTGTCGGGCGGCTGGAACCCCACGGGTGTTGTAATGGAGCATCGCCGGTCACCGAAACCTTGCGAGTGCTGCAATGGAGCATCGACGGGTCGCCGAAGCATCGCCAGTGCTGCAACGGAGCATTGAGGGCTGCTGGAGCATCACATGTGCTGGGATGGAGCATCATCGGGCCGTCGGGACCTTGCGGGTGCTACAATGGAGAATCGACGGGTCACCGAATAATCGCCCGAGCTGCAACGGAGCATCGACGGGTCACCGAAGCATCACCTGTGCTGTGATGGAACATCATCGAGCCGCCGGAACCTCATGTGCTCTGCAATGGAGCATTGACCGGCCATTGGAGCATCGCCGGTGCTGCAACAGAGCATTGACGGGTCGTCAGAGCATCGCCGGTGCTGCAACAAAGCATCGACAGGTCGTCGGAGCATCGCCGGTGCTGCGATGGAGCATCGACGGGTCTTCAGAGCATCGTCGGTGCTGCGACAGAGCATCAACGCGTCATTGAAGCATCGCCGGTGCTGCAACGAAGCATCGACGGGTCGTCGGACTATCACCGGTGCTGTGATGGAGCATCGACTGGTCATCGGAGCATCGCCGATGCTGCGACGGAGCATCAACGCGTCATCGAAGCATCATCGGTGCTGCAACGGAGCATTGCCGAGCTGCTGGAGCATCATTGGTGCTGTGATGGAGCATTGATGGTTTCGCCGGAGCATCGATGATGCTTCAGAAGATGGTCGCAACAACGTCGGTGTTGCAGCTGTGACTGGTATGTGACGAGCTCGTCGGCGTTTTGCTTTGAGATGCCCGGCAACACGGCTGATTCAACCTGAGCGTTGCGTCTAGTGCAAGCAGAAGTTGTAGTCCATGTCAGCCAACCGTGGCTTGTCACATGGGAAGCAATGATGCTGCGTTGCATACAATGGCTGGCTGGAGTCGTTGCATGAGATAGAGAGAATATCATACGGAAACCAACATTCGATGGAAACCGGTAAAAACCACAAGAAGCAAATGTTTTGAAGTTTCAAAAAAATCTGAAAAAAATACGGAATATTAAGAGAATTATGTTTTATTGCCACACAAAAATTTAAGTTGAAACACACTACAAGACGTGAGCTATGGAAAAGACAAAATCAACATTAAATAGTGCCGAACAGTAATGTCACTATTTATGGCTGAATTTGTCTTTTTCATAGCTCACACCTTGTATTGTGTTTGAACTTGAAATTTTGCGTGACAATAAAACATCACCCTCTTAACATCCCTATTTTTTCAGATTTATTTAAAACTTTAAAATATGGTTTTCATGAAATTTTCATTGAATATTGGTTTCCGTATGGTATTCGCCCGCATGAGATATATGCGCGTGTCTTGGGGTGGAAGTGATTAGTGATGGCGTGGTGCCGAGATCATGCGGCTCAAATCGATGCAAATGAACGGCTGGCCAGGCGGCTGATCTTTTCGTATCAGCCGGCTCACGCCTAGCAGCCCCATTCGGTGATCGGTGTTGAAGTTGCACTTAGAATTGAGCCACGTCATCGGTTCGTTCGTGCAACTCGTTCCAGACCACTCAGGCCGCAACGGGACAGCAACCTATAAATGTGTCCGCTTGTCTTCCCCACACCCACACGCTGTCACGGAGCCTCGTGCCCGTCCTTTTATCTTCGCTCTGTGGCCATGGACGCTCCACCCCACACCACCACCCCGCCCTCCTCCTCCACCACCCTAACCCCTCCGCCCCCACACGCCTCCCTGCATTCCCCCAATGGCGGCCATTACCACCACAACCGCGTCCTCCTCCTTCCTCCACCGCCGTATCTCCTCGTCACCACCAACAACCACCATCCCGCTCCCGCGTAGCCACCTGGTTCCCTTCCACGCGCGCAACCGGTGCCACTACAGGCTCACCTGCCGCGCCACCGATGTGTCCGGGGCCGAGCCCTCGGCGCCACCAGAGACCGGTGGGGGCAACAGCTGGTTACCGGTGGTGCCGCTGGCGGCGCTCCCGCGGGGAGAGCGCCGTGTGATCGTACAGGACGGCGAGGAGATCCTGCTTCTCTGGTACAAGGATGAGGTCTTCGCCATCGAGAACCGCTCCCCGGCGGAGGGCGCGTACACCGAGGGCCTCCTCAACGCCAAGCTCACGCAGGTAAACTGCTCGGCAAAATGCCTGCATGTAGTCTAGTCTCTGTACCCGATCCATCTGTGTGTCTCTTTTGGAAGGTTATAAGGTCACACAGTCAGTTTTTCAAAGTGCTCTACAGAATAATAGAAGCATAGGCGAAAAACCACTTGGACAAGATACATACTAAATGGTGCATGTAGAGCATGGCTTCTATTCTACTATATCAGTACAAAATTTCCATGTTCTAGGTTAATTGACCTGCACACACCGAGACTGATTAAGCTGAAGGACAGCGAGCTCTACATGTCTCTGCTTTGCTTTTTTTTTTTATCTTGTATCTGTTATGGATTTTGTGTATCTCCTCGGAGTGCGAAATTGTGTTATGATGTAGATCATCCCTGTTTTCATCGGACAGTCTTTTCTATAGCCGTGTAATTATATTTTTATTCTGATCAGCAGGTGTGTGGAATTTTACTAATTAATCAAGAAGTAAATGCTAAAAATTACCTATTAATGATCTGAAATTGAAAAAAAAATTCATGGGCAATTCATTGAAGTTTCATTATATTAAACCAAACATAATACAGTTCTGAATATGAACGCTGAGATGAAGATAGTTAGGAAAGATGGACACGCAAGACATATTGTATTTCTGTTACAAGTATGCACATATATTCATCAAGGGATGGTGGAAATTCTTGAATTAAATATCATATCAGAGATTTGAGGCCTTAAACTCCTGTTTGAAATATATTTGTCAGAGATTTGGTGTTCAATTTCTTGAATTTCATGTCATTGACAGTTTTGCCACTACTGTAAGTAGCCCTAGTTTCTCATATTTTAAAATTCCATGTCATAGGGGATTTTTGCCTTGTATCAATTTGGGTAACAGGACTAAATTTTTTTTTCAAAAAGGAGGAAAAGGGTAACAGGACTATGAACTGAGTGAGACAGGTGTCAGAGTCAATTTGTTGCTGAGATGCCTATTAGCTAGCAAGTTCACATAGGAGTGATTTCATGTCATTTAGTTTTCTAGTTTCTTCTTTCCAGTTGCCTGCCTTCCTCCGAGACATGCTTTGGAATATCCTTTCATTTCAAACAGAATTATGCTATGGGACAACCTTGACATAATATTCAACAATCTTTATGTTTAATGTAAAGAAATGGTAGGGTCACTGCTCCAAATATGCGAAGGTACATGCAATTCTGTGAGTTCTATCACTAAGGATATAAATTCGAACACACATTTTATTTTCTGAACTGTATATATATTGTGCTGTTATATCAACTTTTGGGCACCTGGGTTTGCATAAAAATTTACATTTAAATATGTTCAGAAATTTGATGTGAGGGAAACACCTTCACTTCGAGTTAAGACAAAGTTCTATAGGTTTCAGATAGTTATTTGCTTGTTGGTGCACCATATTACTTCGTTAGCTGCTATTTCTTCTTATACTGCAAGCTGCAATGCTGCTAGTCTTTTTTTTTATTACCACACACTCTGTGTAAACTATATCGCTTGCTTGCATGAGATAATTCCTCTTCATATCTCAAGGATGTAACCTTATGTATTTTGCATTTCAGGATGGCTGCATTGTTTGCCCATCAACAGATAGTACCTTTGATCTTCGCACTGGGGAAATAGAAGAGTGGTATCCGAAAAACCCTGTTTTAAGGGCTCTGACACCTGTATTGAGAAAACTATTCGTGTACCCTGCAAAAACGGATGGAGAAAATATATACATCAGCATTAGGGGCGCTGCTAGCTCTGGTGGATCAGCTGAGATTCTGTTCAGCGGGAAAGCTCAACCAGGGAGTACTGCATCTGATGTCAACATCGAAGAGGTTTCATTCTCCCTTGCTCCATTACTTTTACTCTGAAGCTTAAGATCATATCTATGCATAATACATTTCTTTTATCTTTCATTAGGTGATCCCTGCATGGATAATTTACTCTAGTGTACTCCATTCTTAGCAATAAGGGAATTTTACCAAACTGGTTACAGTTTGCAACTAGAATATGACATGTTTGTGTTACATTTTCAGGTTAGAATGGTGGTCGATGAAGGTGTAGGAGGTTTTGGTTTCACTGCTTACAATGAACTGGTCAACGGAAAAGCTGCCATAATTGGCTTTCTATTGTTGATAGATTTTGAACTTTTAACTGGTAAAGGCCTTCTAAAGGGGACTGGTTTGTTGGACTTCATCTATGCAATTTCAAGTGCTTTCAGCTCGTAAAGATGTTTTCTGTTTAGTGTGCAGTGTTATCAAGGTATATCACTACTCATGTAAGTCTAGATTTTGTTTACATACAGTTGAGTACACGAGCAATTGTAAGTGAACACTATGTTTGCCCACAAAGTAAGGAATACAAGAGAACTTCTTGTACTCACACTCTTGGATCTGTCTGATTGTCCATAAACCCCAAAATGAGGTTATAGATGTATACATGTTTACTCAATATGCAACATGTAGGCTGTGAATCATCTAAGCAAGAAAAAGGGCTACGGGCTTATCTTATAATCGGTAATAAACTCACTTTTCCATTTCCTGATTGGGGTTCATGTGAGTTTCAAGATCATGTGAATGAGAAAATTGATGTTAAGGAAAACCAAGAAAGTAGATTGCATGTATGACATGGGAAACAACAAAGCTGATTGTACCAGGAAAAACTTTTTTGTTTATTTTCCTTTATTTAAATCTGATCACGAAGATACTTCTGAAAGCCAAATACTATGGGGAGAAACCACCATATTATGTATTACAAATTTAACTTCTCTTAGCAATTTTGTTTTTTGCTGTATATGTCCTGGTGGTATTGAAGGTTACCCAAACTTCCTAAAATCTCACCTTTTGTAAGATAGGTCATTTCTACCCCTTTTTCGATAAAGTTAGATAGGAACCATAAAATGAGAATTTTTTAACTATTTGAGTTTCAAAACAATCTCATTTTAGGATTTTAGGATTAAGTTTGGGCCCTATCTTACAAAAGTGCTGAAGCTTCTTTGTTTCCATCCCCAGCATTCTCTTTGTGCCAGCATTGCTGCCCTGTTAGCATACGGAGCTCATTGCTTCCAGTTCCTGGCTTCAGAAATCCCATTTTCCTGCACTTGGCTGTATCTCAGATGAGATCATTGAGTGGTTTATGTCAAAAGAAGATGAGAAGATTTTAGATCTAGGTTTTTGCTTGTTTAATTTTTGGATTTATTCACTCGAACCTGAAAGAAGTGGTTTATTCACTTGAACACTTCTAACACTTCTTTTGGGATCGAGTGAATAACAAGAGATTGCTGCTTGTTATCATGTAAGGAGTACAACAATACTGTATTATTTCCGGTGTGAAGTTTAGTGGAGCAATCTGCTATTCTCCTCAAGCCAGTAAATCTGGTTTGTCACTGCCAGCTGATTGTTTGGTTTTGAAGTATTTATGTACAGCATTCGAGTGCCAGGCCGGTTATATTGCTAGTTGAAATCTACCTACCTTAATCAAGGGGGCGATGGTTTTATGCATCATCGATGCAGAATCAGGGATGCAATAAACTTATCCACCATCTAACACAAAAGTGCACGACAATGTCAATGTCATCGTCAGGAAATGTATAGAGCAGATGCCCCAGGTTCATTTCAGTGTGGAGTATAGAGCTCAACAATGCTTATGCTCTTCTCTCAAATAGGATGCACAATAGATGGAAATTCAAAACGGAGGTTGGCTCTTATGCACCTGCGTGAACAGTTAAATAGAAGGAAAAAAAAGTAAAAAAAATCTGATCTTTTTAATCAACACGTTCGTGTCTTCTAACCGTGTGATAACTTTTGTCAATAAAAGACCAGATCCCCAAACATGTCTTTTATTTATGAAAAATTGCATGATTTTTTAGCAGTGTTTTTTTTTGCCTAGACCAGTACACATGCCATCTATTCACAAAAAAAATTACATATAGTTCGAAGAGACGATCTTTGGTCATGCAAGAGCATATGAGTCCGAGCTCCAAATCGCCTCCCTCCTACAGAAGAAATTTAATCATTTGACATTCATGTACGATAGCTACGTGTTTGCAAAATCGCACACACTGTTTCTCCTTTGAAAATTTACACATAGTTCAAAGACACGAAACATGTCCACAATCACAATGGCAGTCAAAATCAACCTGGCCTCTTTTGATTCATAGGATAGGATTATCGTAGGAATAGGAATCTTGTAGGAAATGAGATGACATATATTTCAAATCTTATGAGTAGGAATAGGAAACAAGATGTCATTTGATTGACACCAAAGAAATTTTTCCATTGAATCTAGGCTCATTTTTATTTTCCTATGAAATATGGAGGATAGAAACCAATCCTATGCAGGAATAGGAATCCATTCCTATGAACCAAAGGGCTCTAAAGGAAAAAATCCTATAAAAATCCTATCCTCTAGAATTCCTATGAAATTCCTACAAACCAAAGGAGGCCTAAGCTTTACTTATAAAGGGATAAAGGACCAATGTCATGCTCGGGAAGGAATAGGGAGAACATGCTCAAGGTCAACCCAAATCTCGGAGTCTTGGTGCGTTAGGCTGTTTGTAGAGTCTTGGTATTGTGATCCCTCGATGCACCCCTCATCTACCTGGTCCTGTTAGTATGCTAGCTAGGTCTTTTTTTTATAACTTAAAACTTTATTTCTCATATGATAGCCAAGTCATTTACAATAAGGTGAGAAACAAAGTCAGGTATAGAACTTTCCCAAAAATTGGAAAATCTATTTTTGAAAGAGAATTTTGCTAAGCTATCTGCTACTTCATTGGCCTCTCGGAAGCAGTGGATACATTCCACATTTGTAAGATCTGCTATTAATTGTTTCATTCTAGTACTATGGCAACATCTGGTCCAAAGAACTCATTGCCTTGGTTGAAAATCTGAACTGCATTTGTACTATCAGACTCAATAACCACTGAGCTGCAACCAATCCGGAGTGCAAGGATTATACCGTTGTATACTGCATGCATTTCTGCTGAGTCCACACTGCTAACATGGGGAATGAACTAGCAATGCTAGGTCTTGCCTTATGTTGGGCGTCCCGTTCCTCTCCTTTTCTTGTAACACTCGTTACTTGTCTGGTTTTCGGCTTGGTTTTCCTTATAAATGGGGTCAATTTGTTAAGATTTTCGATCCGATTTTTTTATAAACTGGATCACTCTCCTGGCATTATGACCACTTTGAGCAATATATTCAGGTGGAGGGACTCCTCCTCCGGTGATTCTCAAAAAAAAAACCCAAATCTCGGAGACGCGGACTGAATCAGACAACTAAACAGATAGTACGTTAACCTGGACTTGTTTTGACACACCCTTAAACTAGAGCTTTCTGCCCCCTACATTGTTTTGACCTCGGAAGCTTCCTTGAGCACAAAACAATCCCGTTGCCTATGTATACCTTTTTTCTTGATCTACGCGGCAACAAAATTTTGTGGTTTTATTCTTAGATGTCAATTGCAAAGTCGCATACCAGAAAGTGGCAGTCTAAGGGTAATTTAGAGCGAAAATCGATTCTGGGCCAAGGGACATATGCTCTCATGATCTGAAGGGAATGTTGGTAATGTTTGGGAGTTGAGCCAGGAATGGTGAAATGAGAAATGGGAAGGATCAAAATTAATCATACTTAACTGAAGTTTGGACGTTGTTGGCAGATATTTCTGGGCTCATGTTCACCCTTCTTCCTCCTCCAGTAGATTACATACTTCCTTTTCTATCCTGGTTCTCTATGCTTCTTGTCTGGTGTGATGTCCTTTTCATTTTTCCTGTTTAGTCTTGTACTCCCTTCGTCCGAAAATACTTATCCTCGAAATAGTTGTATCTAGACTTATTTTAGTTATAGATACATCTATTTTATTCATTTGTAGGACAAGTATTTCCGGACGAAGGGAGTAGTCCTTATTCAGCGTGTGTGTAAAGCACGTACATCTTTCTTTCGAAACGGAGTGCGATAGATTAATGCGACAATTTCATGGTATTCCATTGTGCAAAGTCTCTATTCATCATGCAATCTCATTTCTTGGTCTTTGTGCCGCCTATATATATACATATATATCCAACTCTAACATATTTGAGGGCTGACCCGCAAACCTCCCGCAACGATTCGAACCGCGGAAGCCATCCAATGCGGGTCTGTATCGGTCCGCAGGACGGTTCGGACGCGATTTCTCTCGTAAACCGGAGAGAAAAGTGAGGGAAATTTACGGGAGTCTGAATCGATCCCAAGTCTGTTTCTCACCGTCTTGGCCCATAAAATATCCCTCACCCCTCCCGCGTGTTTTTGGCCAGCGCCGCTTCAAAGCGAATGCGACCGCTCACTGGCGCCGGCCGAGAGAGCTCTGCCCGCGCCGCTTCCCGGTGCAGGCAACTGCTGTGCGTTCAAAAGACACGATGGCCGCCCATCCGTCCGTCTGCCGCCCGCATTGATGGCACGCGATTGCCGAGGCGTCTCCTTCGGCGCCACCCATCCGTCCATCTGCCTTCCACCGGTGCTATAAAAACCGCTACCCCAACCATAGCCACAGTCACCCCTCTCCACACCACTCCCCGCCATGGATCCCTTCATGGCCAAAGCTCTCTGGGACGGGCTTACGTCGGAGCAAAAGAAAGCCATGGCCACTGTTGCTGCCGACTGGCAGGCCGCCATCCAGCTAGAGGACATGCAAATGGAGGACGCCTCCTCCGACAAGCCAGCGCCACCCTCCTTGGGTCTACTTCGGTTAGGATCAACTTGTGTTGTTGTGTCTTTTCATGATTGTCCCTTAATCAATCATGAGGCCGTATGATTTTCTATCTAGTTTTTCTTAGAAACTGGGTTGACTCTCTTCTTTTAATAAGGGCATCTCCAACGGCAACCCGCAAAAAATCTCCCGCATCCGTCCGCAGACAGGGGGACAGTTCGTGGACACGGATATGGGAGGCAGCCATCCAACGCTAGCCGCATACAATTTCACAACAATTCAAACCAATCGGGCGAAATTCGTGCAAACACGGCCGGAGTTCATGTGAACTCGACCGGATTTCATGCAAACATGACGAATTTCGTATAAACCAGACGCAAACGGTTACATTTTGGAAATATTTTAACTAAAAAGTTAAAACTATGTGCACGTATGGTCGCGCGGAGCTCCACTCCCACGACATGGATACATTACACTAGTCTATGGCCGGCCGCGGTGGATCCCTTCGTCACCGGGCTGCCCGGAGTCCCGGAGGCATATGCTT